TGAAAGACTGGTAGGGTTGACTGTGGATAGTTCTACGTGGACGGCCCAAGAGTGGCAGCTCTGTATTTATCCCCGCTTGGTGCCCCTCGTGCTTGATGCTATGCTTAGTCTTTGTGTTAGTCTGGGTGGACTAGAGAAGCAAATTCATTCACACATTCCTATGTGTGTAAGAAAAAGCTTCATGTACAAGAGCAGTTGAATATTGAGAAAACATCCCAGCCCAGTCCAGATCAAGTCCTTAAGTCCGATATTAGCCCATATGTCTGATACCAATCTATAAATTCCTGTTCAGACTCATGAAACATGTGCCATGATGCAGAATGCAGGAAGATCACAGGCCAATGGGTGGAAAGTCTTGTGGATCCAGTGGCAGTAGAGGCCTCTCAGCGGTGGCAGGGTCTCCACATGGCTTCGCTAGCTCTGAGGCTCTGGCTGCCATCAGCCTGTCTCCATGTGGCTTGTCAACAAGAATGCCTCGCAGGGAGGGAGTGTGTGCCCTGCCTCATGAGCTATTTATCTCCTTAGCGCTTCCAAGTGAGGTCATGCCACGTCCCGATTGACAGGCTAGACTCCACCCCTTCACTCTTCATCCCCCCAGATGTACACCAGATGATGTGACTACCACAGTCTTGGAACATGACCTCGTGTTCTCAAATTCTCTTTTCCATCTCCTTCCCCGCTCCTCCTGGAGCTCCAGCTAAACACAGGTTTGACCTTTTTACAAGGTTTCTTAAGTCTCTGGGTTTTTTTGTTTTGTTGTTATTGTTATTTCCTATCACTCTTTTCCATATTTCAGGCTAGGTAGTTACTAAATTCAAAGCTCACGAAGCTAATGTGCCACAAGCTTCCTTACTGGGCTGTTCCTTTAGATGGTTTAGCTTGGTTCCCTCCGTGTAGAGTTCCGTGATCTGCTAGTATTCTCGATTCCCCTGGCATCTGCTTTCTGATGGCACCAATCCCAGTTCACGTCACCAAAGCCCCTGACACTTCCAGTATTGAGCTCTCCCTGGGGTGTTTCTGTTACCGGTTTTCCCTCTTGGATATTAGTCTTATCTGCACCAGGCTCTGAGACTGAATGTGGGGTGCCACGTCCCTGAGCTCCGTGTTCCCTGAGGCGTGGCCGCCTCGGAGCGTCACATTGCCCTCGAGCACGTGTTAGAACTGTTCTGGTGGTTCTGAGCCAAATGCTGAAGCAGGAGCCCTGTGGTCAGAAGTGGAAGCAGCCACTGTCCACATCTGTTTCTAAAAGCAAAATAATGCTTCGAAGGCACACAGGAAATGAGCCGTCCGGGGGCTCCTCCCACTGCACCTCCGATCCTCTTCTCGCCAGGCTGCCTGTTGGCCCGCCTCCTTCCAGCTGCACACCTAACGAGTTGGCACACCTGTCTCCTTGTCCCCGGCCACACGCGCACTTGTCCCCTTGTCGCCGGGGAAGCAGAGGGAACTCTGACATGCAGGCACACACTCGCCGTGGCCTCTTCCCGTTCTCCTCAAACAGACTGAAATGGTCTTGTTGCTGCCACGTGATCGAGTCTGCATGTGCTGGCCTGACGCAGCAGCGATGATCATTCTCGGTCCCGACACCCTACAGGGTCTCCCAACAGCTCACGGTTCCCTGGTCTGCCTTTGCGATGATTTCACCAAAAATGGATTCATTCCAAAATCCTGACTCCAGCTTAGATCTCCAGGCTGCGTTCAAGCACACAGATGCTGCTCCTTTCTGTTTGCCTGGGGACCCGGCCCTCCGTTCCCCGGTTCCAAGGCCCCATGTCCTCCTCCTGGGCTGACTCCGTCTGCTCCCTCGGGAGGCCACTCGAAGGCCACATCATAGGTGTGTCTCAGAACACAGTGCCCCTGGCACCTCTTATCCTCTCAGACGCTTTACAGAGCAGGGACCGGGCCACCTGGCTGGACGGTCGGGGACATGCACCATTTATACAGCAATGGTATTTGCTCTGAAAACCAGAGGAGGTGGGTTAAGCTGTGTTACGTTGTGGGATGGCAGTCCATGACGTGAAACAGACGTGTATGACCTGCCCCATGGAAAATGGATCCACTCTAAGTGGTCACCCAGCGCGCAATGAAAGGTTTTACAAAGGACTGTGCACCCATCCTTCCCTCGCAGAACTCAGGATGCAAGAAATGGTGTCCATGGGCATAGGCAACAAGCCGTTCATGGACATCCAGCCCAGCGATGCCGCCATAAGTGACCGGGCCATTGACTACCTCCTGAAGAGGACAGGTATGGTATCTCCCGAGCCCTGGAGGGGGACGGGGCCAGCCTCAGCCCTGTGGCCCCGGCTGGGGTGAAGGTGGGGTCTGCTGTGTTGCTGGGTTCGGGCCGTGGGCCACAGAGCGGCCAGGCCCACTTGCCCTCCTGTCCACTGGCAGAGCCGCGGGCACGTGCCTCCATCGCCGTGTCCTCCTTTGACCGTGCCGCCCCCTTCAAGAGGCCCCACTCCACCATCTCGGAGAGCAGCACTTCCTCCTCCAGTAGCCGGTCCTCCTCGGTCCGGGGCCACCTGAACCTGCACGTGTACCCCAGCTCCCCGGGCCCGCTGAGCCCCTGGCCCCGCGACGGCAGAGCCTGCATCGAGGAAGATGAGCTGGAGCAGGAGACGGGCAGCCAGCCCTCCATGAGTGAGTGGGGCACCTGGGACGCCAGGGGGCTGCTGGAGCGAGGCATTGGGGACTCGAGATGGGGGGAGGTGGTGGAGAGAGGTGCAGGGGGCGCCGGGGATGGCCTGTTTAGGTCCCCTGACTTCATGTGCTTCCCAGTGTCTCTCAAACAAGTTAAACGTTTTCTCTTAGTTTAAAACAAGAATGTCACTTCCACTCCACATGGAGGCACAGGAAATGAAGTCAAAATACCCCGCCCCCCCTAAAACGACACACGTGACAAAGGAGGTCTCAGACACGGGGCATTGCGGGGGAGGGCTGTGATTCTTCGGATGGGAAGCAAGTGGGGTGAGGACCCCCTCAAAGGGTTTCAAGCCCACAGATCAGGGAGAGGGGCCCAAGGGGACATAAGTTAGGGAGAAGGACCATCTGGCTGGGAGAGGGCTTGGAAAACACTTGGAAGGATTAGGGAACAGCTGCTTTCACACACTCAGGCCAGACTGGAAAAACGTCATTCATGAGGCAGAACCCTAACCAGACCCGCCTGTCAAACCATGAGCACTAGACCCCAAAAGGGCCAACGGTTTCCAAGTATCTTAACTCCATCCCTGGGAGAAGGATGAAACTTTCTACTCCTGTAAAGAGCTACCAGAGTTGGTTGTCTCGGAAACCCCTGCTCTATAGGGTATATTTGGGTCTGAATTGACTTCATGACCATGAATTTGGCGCTTTGTTGTTGTTCTTTAACTCCACCCCAGGAGAAAACTCAAGATAATGTACAAAAATACAAATAGATCCAGGACCCAAGAAGTAGAATTCACACAGTCTGACTTTCGTTCAAAGGTCATCAGTGTACGAAGAAGTAGGCCCACGTGAGATAAAGGAGGGAGAATGATTGAGAACATACAAGCAACCCAGAATTGGCACAGATGTTGCACTGATGGGTCACAGGCATAAGGCCATATTTAACCTGAGTTCCAGATGTGTAGAAGTGAAGACAGTGGTGGCGGCGGCGATGGTGTGCCATCGAGTCAGTTCCGACACATAGCAATTCTGTGCACAATAGCCAAACACTGCCCGGCCCTGCGTCACCCTCATAATCGCTCTTAGCTCGGAGCCCACTGATGTAACCACTGTGCTAATCCGTCTCGTCAGGGGCCTTCCTCTTCTTCTTTGCCCCTGCACTTTACCAAGCATGATGTCCTTCTCCAGGGACTGTCTCTCCTTACACAACATGTCCAAAGTATATCCTCTCTTCTAAGGAGTGATACTGGCTGTACTTTTTCACAGACAGATTTGGTGGTTTTTGGTTTTTTAATCATTTTATTGGGGGTTCATACAATCCATACATACATCCATTGTGTCAAGCACATTTGTACATTTGCTGCCATAATCATTCTCAAAACATCTGCTTTCTACTTAGTCCCTTGGTATCAGCTCATTCTTACCCCTTCCTCACGAACCCTTGATAATTTGTTATTATATTGTCATGTCTTATACTGTCCAACATCTCCCTTCACCCACTTTTCTATTGTCTGTCCCCCATGGAGGGGGTTATATGTTGATCCTTGTGATCGGTTCCCCCTTTCTACCCCACCTTCCCTCCACCCTCCAGGTATCGCCACTCTCACCACTGGTCCTGAAGGGATCATCTGTCCTGGATTCCCTGTATTTCCATCTCTTAGCTGTACCAGTGTACATCCTCTGGTCTAGCTGGATTTGTAAGGTAGAATTGGGATCATGATAGTGGGAGGGAGGAAGCATTAAAGAACTAGAGGAAAGTTGTATGTTTCATCGTTGCTACACTGTACCCTGCCTGTCTCATCTCCTCCCCACAACCCTTCTGTAAGGGCATGTCCAGTTGCCTACAGGTGGGCTTTGGGTCCCCACTCCCCCTCATTCACAATGATATGAGTTTTTGTTCTTTGATGCCTGATACCTGATCCCTTTGACACCTCATGATCACACAAGCTAGTGTGTTTCTTCCATGTGGGCTTTGTTGCTTCTCGGCTAGATGACTGCTTATTTATCTTTAGGCCTTTAAGACCCCAGATGCTATATCTTTTGATAGCCGGGCACCATCAGCTTTCTTCACCACATTTGCTTATGCACCCACTTTGTCTACAGTGATCGTGTCAGGAAGGTGAGCATCATGGAATTCTTGCATTGAGGGTGTATTTGAGTGGAGGCCCAATGTCCATCTGCTACCTTAATACTAAACCTGTAAATATATGCACATAGATCTATTTGGTGGTTCTTTGGGCAGTCCATGGTACTGTCAAGATTCTTGCGAGCGCCATCATTCAAATTCATCAATTCTTCTTCGGTCTTCCTCAGTGTCCAACTTTCACATGCATGTGAGGCAATGGAGAATACCGTGGCTTGGGTCAAGCGCACCTTACCCCAAAAGTAACAACCTTGGTTTTCAATAGACTAAAGAGGTCTTGTGGAGCAGATTTACCTAATGCATTGCACCCTTTTATGTGGTTCCGTGAGCTGAAATCTTTCCCCTGCTTAATGTGATATAACCTATTGGTCCAGTTAAGAGGATCTTTATCATCTTGATGCTGAGTCATAATCCAAATTGAAGGCTTGAATCCTTGACCTTCATCAGCAAGTACTCCAAGTCCTCCTCAATTTCAGCAAGCAAGGTTGTTCCATTTGCATATTGCAAATAAGCCTTTCCCCAATCCTGATGCCACATTGTTCTTCATATAATCTAGTATCTCTGATTTGCTCAGCACACAGATTGAATAATATGAAGAGAGGATCCAACTGTGAGGTCTACTTTCCTGATTTTAAACAACTCAGTGTCCCCTTGTTCTGTTCCCACAAACTGCCTCTTGCTCCATGGACAGGTTTCCTATTAGCACAACGCAGTGTTCTGGAATTCCTATTCTTCTCAAGGCTATCCACAGTTTATTAGTAGTCCACACAGTCGAATGTCTTTGCATAATCCATGGAGCACAAGTACATATCATTCTGGTATTCTCTGCTTTGAGTCAGTGAAGCAGCTGTCTTCCAAATTTCTTAGCATAGATGAGTGAGTGCTTCCAGAGCTTCATTCGTTTATTGAAAGATTTCTATCAGAATTCCATCAATCCCTGGAGCCTTGTTTTTGGCTAATGCTTTCAGTGCAGCTTGGACTTTTTCTTTCAATACCATTGGTTCCTGCTACTTCTTAAAATGGTTGAATGTTGACTAGTTATTTTTGCTACAGTGACTCCGTATTCTCTCTATCTTATTTTGATGATTCCTACATCATTCAATATTTCGTCCATAGAATCTTTCAATATTGCAACTCAAGGCTTCAATTTTTTCTTGAACTCTTTCAGTTTGCTGACTATACTCTACACCCCCACCCCCCCAACCTACTTCTAGGTCTTTAAACATTTCATTACAATATTTGACTTTTTTCTTGAGCTGCCCTTTGAAATTTTCTGTTCAGCTCTTTAACTTCATACTTTCTTCCATTTGCTCTAGGTACTACACAATTAAGAGTAAGTTTTAGTGTCTCTTCTGACATCCACTTTAATCTTTTCTTTCTTTCCTGTAATTTGAATGCCTTTTGCTCTCTTAATGATGCTCTTGATGTCCTCCCACAGTTCATCAGGCCTTTTACCGGTCGTGTTGAGTGCATCAAATGTTCTGGAAATGGTTTCAAATTTCAGGTGGGAGAGACCCAAGGTTGTACGAGTATTTGGGCTCTTGTGGACTTGTTTAATCTTCTTCAGGTTCAACTTGAACTTACAAATGAGCAATTGATGGTCTGTTCCTCAGCCCTTGGCATGGATTTTAGCTGCTGATATTGAGCTAATGTGTCTTCTCTTCCCGCAGACATACACAATTTGGATTCTGAGTGTTCCATCTGGAGATGGCCGCGTCCTTTTGTGTTGGTGAAGGAAGGTATTTGCCATGAATATGTTGTTGACCTTGCGAAATTGTACCATGAAATCTCCAGCTTTGTTTCTGTCTCCTAGACGGTGGTTTCCCTGTTCCTTTGTTTCCAACCTTTTTATTCCAATCACCAATAGTTATGAGTGCATCTTGACTGCATGTTTGACCATTTTGGACTAAAAACGTTGGTAGAATTCTTCAATATCTTCATCACTAGCTCTTGTGGTTGATGTACACATTTGAATAACAGCTGTGTAGATGGATAGATATTATCAGATGCGTGGTACTTCAACATAGATCTTGAAAACTTCCTTGTTGACGATGGACTTGTGATGCCATTCTTGAATCTGTCATTTCCGGCAAGTGAACCGTATGATTTTCTGATTTAAAATGGCCAATACCAGTCCAATTCAGCTTACTAGTACATGGAATATCTATCTTTATGCATTCCATTTCATTTTTGACCACTTCCAATTTTCCTAGATTCATACTTCACACATTCCAAGTTCTAATTATTTATTGAGGGTTTGGGTAGTGGTTGCTAAAGTATGTTAGTCTGGGTGGACTAGAGAAACAAATTTATAGACACTCATGTGTATAAGAAAGAGCTTTATATAAAGAGTAATTGTACATTAAGAAAACATCCCAGCCCAGTCCAGATCAAGTCCTTAAGTCCAATACCAGCCCATATGTCCAACACCAATCTATAAAGGCCTCTTCAGACTCACGAAACATGCAATGACGCCAAATGCAGTAAGATCACAGGCCAGTGGGTGGGAAGTTTTGTGGATCCAGTGGTGTAAGCATCTTGGCTCTGGCAGGGGTCTCCACGTGTCTCCTCCAGCTCAGGGCAATAGCATAGTTCTGTGTGTGTGTCAGATGCAATGTCTCCCAGGGAGCATGCCTGCGTGCTGCCTCCAGTGAGCTATTTATCTCCTTACTGCCTCCAAATGAGGTCATCAAGCTACGACCTGAATGACAGGCTAAACTCCACCCCTTCACTCTAATCCTCTCAGATTGACAACAGATTGTGTAACTACCACACTAAGTAAATACCTCACTGCCATCAAGTCGATACCGACGCAGTGACCCGAGAGGACAGGTTAGATCGTGGAAACCCTGTCCGTTTCCAAGACTGTAATTCTTTGCAGGCATAGAAAGCCCCTTGTTTCTCCCAAAGAGCCAATGGTAGTTTCGAACTGATGACCTTGGAGATCACAGCCCAATGTGTAACCACTAGGCTGCCAGGACTCCTTGTAAGTAAAGACAGAAGACAGTTAAAAGACCTAACGGAGGTGAAATTTAGATAAAAATCATAATACAGCATAAGTAAACCTTGTTGCAAAGTCCTGTTATTTGTAGGTGCTGTCGGGTAGTTCCAATAGTGGCACTCCATAGGCAGATGCATTGTTGTTAGGTGTCGCAGGTTGACACCGACCCGAGCAGCTCTGTGTCCAACAGAATGAAACGCCGAACGGTCATGGGCCATCGCACAGTATTCCTGTGCCCGGGCCCATTGTTGCAGCCACTGTGCCCCTCCTCCTCCTCAAAAGCCTTCCTCTTTTTCACTGCCCTTCCCCTTTACCACACATGATGTCCTCCCCAGGGACTGGTCTCCCCTGACAACATGTCCCAAATCTGTGGGATGAAGTCTTGCCATCTTGCCTCTAAGGAGCCCTCTGGCCGAACGTCTCCCCGCAGATTGGCTTGCCCGTTAGCAGTCCATGGCACTGTCAGTGCTCTGCTCCAGCACCACTCGATGCAGCTGTTCTTCAGTCTTCCTTATTCCATGTCCAGCTTGCACATGTATAGGAAGCAGTGGCTTGGGTCAGGCATACCTTAGTCCTCAAAGTAACATCCTTCATTTTCAGTACTCGACAGAGGTCCTGTGCAGCAGATGTACCTAATGCAATTGATCTCTTGATGGCTGCTTCCATGAGCAGATTGTGGATCAAAGCAAGACAAAATTTTTGACAAAGTCAACACTTTCTCCATTTATCATGATGTTACCTATTAGCCCCGTTGTGAGGATTTTGGTCTTCTTTACATTGAGTTCTCATCCACACCGAAGGCTGCGATCCTCGCTTTTCATCAGCAAGTGCTTAAAGTCCTCCTCACTGTAAGCAATCACGGCTGTGCCATCTGTGTACACTGCAGGGTGTTCGTCTTCCTCCAAAACGGGTTCCACATTCTTCTTCAGACAATCAGCTTCTCTGATGATTTGCTCAGCTTACAGATTGAACAAATGTGGTGAGAGGACATAACCCCGGCTCAGACCTTCCCTGATTTTAAACCATGCCGTATTCCCTGATGTTTGCCCCGCTGCCTCTTGGCCCATGTACATGTTCCGGATGAGGAAACTGCAGTGTTCTGGAATTCCCACTCTTCTCAGGGCCGTCCACAGTTGACTATGGTCCACGCAGTCCAATACCTGTGCACGTCAATGAGACACAGCCAAAATCGTTCTGGTCTTCTTGCTTTGAGCCAAGGTCCCTCTGACGTCAGCATGAGCTCCCTTGTTCCACGTCCTCTTGTGAATCTGACCTGGACCTCTGGCAGCTCCCTGTCAGTGTGCTGCTGCAACCGTTGTCGGATGATCTTCAGGACCTCTTACTTGAGAGAACAGATACAGAAACCTCTATTAAACAGTTCAAGTCTGAAACTGCTGCTTCTCCATCTGGGTCTACCTGCTTCTGAAGGTGGCGTGTCCATCTCTCTCACCTTTCCTGAAGAACTCGGTGCTTCACTTTATACATCAACATGGCAGCTTTGGCATTTGGGGGGTGGGCGGGAGGGGCGGCTCCAATTGCATTATTTTCCCATGTTTTCTGAGTCTGGAGAACAGAGACTTTGGGGGGGGGGGGCCAAGATCTGGGCTGTAGGCTAGATGGGGCAAGGTTTCCCAACAGAATTTCTTTCTTTCTTTTGGAAAAATGTTTTCATTGTGATAAATACAAGTGGCGAGACATGTCTGTTAAGACAATGCACAAAGATGTACAGGTGGTCACCTTGCTGCCCTTTTCTCTCACAGTGGTTTCCTATTGCAGTGCACAGCCCTGCAGCCTCCTAGTGATCTGAGCATGTATGAACTGATGCATGGCCTCCCGCTTTCCCTTCCCACTGCCAACAGAATTTCATAGGCCAGCCCTTGTGGCCTTCGGGGAATGAGCAAGGGCGTCGCCCCGGGAGAAAGAACACGTGTTGGCACCACTGTCCCAGGCGTGTTCTCAGCGATGCAGACTTCACTTTTCCTAATAGCTTCCTGAGAAACTTCTGATCAGGAGGACCCTGTAGGAGTCCCCAAACCACAGGTAGCATCTCTCTGCCTGGAAGGAACTTGCCTGCCCCACCACAGAGACCACGGTTCAGGTTGGGCCTTTTTCCTAGCTGGCACCTGAAGGAGACCAAGGCAAGTCGCACGAGTGAATCTGAAGACATAGCAGTAGCAGTGATCCAGAATTCAACATAAGAGCTAAAAGAATCCCCAGGAGGAGAGAGCACAAAATGAGCAGGTGGCGTCCAGTGGGCTGGCCCGCATCTCTCTGGGGTTCCCAAGACTGGGGTGCAAGCAGATATTTGATGAAACCCTGGCTGAGCATTTCACACAATTCGATGGACATCGCCCAGGAGCTCTGGTAGCGTAGTGGGTTATGTGTTGAGCTGCTAATCACAAGGTCTGTGGTTCCGACCCATCAGCTTCTCTGCAGGAGAAAGCAGCAGCTACCTGCTCCTACAAAGATGTAATGTCTCAGAAACCCAAAGAGGTAGTGCGGCTCTGTGCTGTAGGGTAGCTTTGAGTTGGACTAGAGTTTAGTCGACCAACAGCTTGCTTAGCCCCAAGCACCAGAAATAAGAGGAAAGTATTCTCGGATACCTCGGAGCCGGTTGTTCAAAATCATTGACAAAAGGAAAATGCTAAAAGCAGAAGGGACTGTTCCCACTGAGGAACAAAGACTCCGGTGGGAGTGGTGAGGTCATGGGGTCGGCTCAGGACAGCCCACGTAGCCCAAACACTGTGGACAGACGACGACTTCAGAACTTAGGAAGTGACAGGAAGTACTTGGTGAAGGTCAGTGAGACAAACAGCCATCAGTCCCCAAACAAACCCAAGCCGTCGGATGGATTCCGACCTGGGTCCCTCGGTGGAACTGCCCCCTCAGGTTTCCTGGCTGCCATCATTACAGAGAGGAGCCCCACCTGGTGGGGTAGTGGGTACGCATTGGGCTGTGACCTACAAGGTCAGTAGTTCGGAAACACCGGCTGCTCCTCGGGAGAAAGGGCTTTCTACTCCCAGTAACACTTTCAGTCTCAGAAACTCGGGAGCAGATCCACCCTGTCCCGTAGGGTCGCTCGGAGTCAGCATCAACTCCTAGGCAGTGAGGTTGGTTTTAGTTGTTGGTAAAGAGGTCCTCCTAGTGGCGCTGTGGGTGAGGCGTTGGGCTGTTAACCACAAGGCGGGCAGTTCCCACCTGCCGGCCCCCCCCCGGGAAAAAAAAAGGACTCACAGTGCAGTGGGCTCGGCATCTGGAATCTTGGACACACACTGCTGATGGGCCAGGCGTCAGGGCTGGCAGGATTCGCATCCTCTCGGGCTGCAGGTGCTCGCGGGAGAGAGTGGCCCGCTCATTAACTCGCGTTCTGTGTGACACAGGCGTGGAACCCAGGCCTAAGGGTAGGTTGAACCAGGCAGGAGTGGGGAGGGAACATGCCAAGAGGCATGCAGTCGGGTGGGTCAGGGGCCGAGCGTGCCGCCACAGGCTGTGTGACCCCATGGGACCCCTCCATCTGCCCGCAGCCACGGAGAGCTCTGCGTCCTCCCAGTGCACCTCGGGGGACAGTGCAGGCTGCCCGGGCAGCCCCCCACACCCAGGGCTGCGGCAGCTGGCCGACGAGGATGGCGCATCCAGCCCGGGCTGCAGGACTCCCAACCAGGGCGCCTCCCCGCCCCTTCCCAGCAGGAGCTCGCGGTGGCTTGGGGGGCAGCTCACCACAGCGGTGAGTGGCCTCGCTGGGCGCCAGGGGGATGGGTCCCACCTGGGCCTGGAGGAGCCCCCTCACCCCTGAGTGGGCGACTTGTCCAGCCCCAGGGTCCTCAGTCAGTGCTGTGTTGGGGGCTGGCTCCCAGCATGTGATGTGGCCCACCCAGGACCACGCTTCTCTCACCCCTTAGTGGCCCTCCAGGCCTGGCCTCGTCTTGCTTGGTGAGAAGCTGGGATCCCCAAAGGCCTGGCAGGCAGCCAGAGTGGGCCTTGGGTTCCATGGGGGCCCCGGGGTGGCTGGGTGTGTGCTATGTGCTCCCTGCCATGGGCTGTGAGCCCAGGGCGATGGAGACCTCCCAAAGCTGCAGCTCATCTGCAGGCCCAGCCCGATGGCCTCAAGGCAGTCAGGGAGGCTCCTGGGACAGGGATGCACCCTCTTCTAACTGGCGCTTCAGGATCCGGGGCCTCAGTGGGCAAGCAGGCCTGGGAAGATGTGGGGTCTGCTATTAGGGGCTCGAAGCTGGGCTTAGGAACAGTCCCTGTGCCCTGGATGAGGCCTGATCAGTGGTCCCGCCTTCTCGTCAGAGGAACCCATCTTGGACCCTCTGCAGAGGTTGCCCAACTCGCGGGTCCTCGCGAAGGCCCAGGCCGTCGGGCCGAGAGCAGAGGCCACCCAACCCTGCATGCTGCTGAGACTCCACTCACCTGCCCAGAGCAGCCTGACCACAAGGCACACTAACCGCCCTGGGGCTACACCCACTCCCTGTCCGTACCGCCCCCCCAACACACACACACACACACACACACACACACACACACACACACACACACACACACACACACACACACACACACACACACACACACACACAACCCCCTCCTATGCATGAACGAGCTTCTTGGCCCCTTCTCCATCTCCCTTGTCCCAGCTTGCAGCTCCTCTGAGAGCCCTATGCCTGGACTCTGGGACCACCTATGCTGAGCTCTGGGGCCACAGGACCGGCAGCCCAGCAGGTCCCTCACACCACTCCCACCCGAGGGCCTGTGTGTCTTCGAACCGTCCCTACCACACCCTTTCCCGAGGCCAGCTGTCCTCCACCAGAGCTGGAAGTCCTCTCACCCTCGTGGACAGGAGTCCAGATGAGCCCCTCTAAACGGGGCCCGCTGACTGGGCAGTAGATGCCAATTTCCATACCCCATGGACATAACCTGTTGGAAGGGGCCTGCCCCGGGCTGCATAGGAGGTGCACACTGGCTGGGGTCTGAGGGTGGCATCTTTTAGGGCTCAACCGTCCCATCCAGTGTGTCAGCCAGTGGTTGGGGGTCGGCTGGCTGGTGGTATATCCTCAGAGTCCTGGCTCAGGGCAGGGAGCACGGACTTAGTGTCCGGGGGCCTCTGGGAAGGCTACTTCAGAAGGCTGCCTGGAAGGTCCTCCACTGGCTGGGCCAGGCCACCCCCTTCACATTGGTTGCAACTGGCTAGCCATGTTAGTGCTTCACTGCCCGAGTCTCAAGTGCTTGACCAAACGATGGACACCAAGCCCGTGGTGCAGGAAAGGCCCCTCACCAGGGAGACCCATGAACCCCAACCAAGGATACCCCTTGCCCACAAGGTTTGTGCGCTCACTAGCTGCCCTTGAGCTGAGAGACTCCCCTCCTTCCTGCACTAACCTGAGAAATCCGGGGCCCCTTCAGTCCCCGGCCCCCTGCTCTCCCCTGTGTGTGGGTGGCAGCTCCTGGGCACCCATGCTGCCTAGATAGCAGCATCATGAGCGGGTGGGTGGAGACATCCCTGGGGCAGCCTCCTGCAGTGACAGGCAGGAGCTGCGCAGTGGACACGGGGTGGCTGGTAACAGTATCTGTCTTGACAGCTGTGACGGGCCCAGCCAGGACCCAGGGCAGGGCAGACCTGCTGTGACCACGGGCATTGGGACATCATAACTTGGTTCTGACCACCACCACCCCATTTCCGGACAGTGTCCCCACTCTGGAGGGGTGTAGCAGAAACTCACAGACCCTGATCTTGGAGGGAGCCTTCCCTGTGACCAGACTTGGGCGATGGTCTCAGTGGACACCCACGGAGGGCCAGGATGCCTTTACCCGTCTGAAGACAGCCAGCAGTGCCTGGAACCACCATCTCTGCAGTGGGGCAAGGACTAGCCATGCTGCTCGCTATCCTCCCCAGAGCGAGGCCCCCCCAGATGCTGGGGGTGCAGACCACAGCAAACCACCCCCCCAACACACACACTCTGCAGTGGTGGGCCAAGAGGTCTGATGAACACAATGGGCCCGAGTGGACCAGCCTGCACCTCATCCTGTGACTGAGGGTTCCCTCTGACCCCAGCACCCTCCCCAGGCCACTGGCTGCAGAAGGAGCAGACGATGGCCCACGTAGGTTTTGGAAACTGCCTGTCCAGAGCCAGAGAGAAGCCACTCTTAGTTTTGCTGCCTGCCTTCAATACGACTGGTCTGAAATTTTCAATAAATGAGACTTCCCACTGCTCGTGGTCTCGTTGCATCCTGGGTGGTCTGGGCATGGGGAGGGACTCTGCCACCTTAACATCAGACTGGGCCCACGGTGGGTGCTCTGCTGGGTGATGGTGGAGCTTCCCCCCACCACATCACCCTCCTCCCTGAGGGGTAGAGGAGTCTCACACAAGGGTGTGGGTGACAGCATGACCCCCAAAGGAGTGCTGGCATGAGGTCAGCCCATGACTTGCTGACATGGGGGGAGGAGCACTTCAGTGGCCACAGGTACTTGTTGGTTTGTGGATGCTGTTGACTGACAGCTTCTCTTCCCATGGCCCTGCCTGGGGGAGCAGGGGGAGGTCCCAGGGAACTAAGTAGCTGAGGGCAGCACTGGCCACTTACCACTGGTGTCCCCTTAGCCTAACTCCCTGCAGAAGCGCCATGGCAGAAGCCCTAGGCTGGGTTCTGAAAGGGTTACCCAGGATGGGCAAGGAGAGGTGGTGAGGGACCCCACCCCACACACAGGAGGCCCCTAAGGACCAGATCTACACGATCTCTGGGGCGGCACTGGCAGTTCAGGCCTGCTCTCCGCCAACCCCTAGACATATACCCCCGCCCCCAAGAAAACCAATGTCCCGACCAAAATAGCCGTCAGGTGACAGCAGAGGCTGGTGACGCTCCGGGAAACTGCAGCTAAGAATAGCCGTGCAGGCGGGGGCCTTCCGGAGGGCCGGGCAGAGCCGAGCCGCTCCGAGCACAGTCGCAGTGCTGCGCAGCGCCGGGCAGAGCCGAGCCGTGCCGGGCAGCGCCGAACCTCTCCGGGCGCATTCGCAGAGCTGCGCACAGCGGCAAAGCTGCAGAGCCGAGGCGTGCCGGACGGAGCCGAGTGGCTCCGGGCAGAGTCGCAGATCCGCAGTGCCGGGCAGAACCGAATCGTTCCGGGCAGAGTCGCAGAGCCGAGCTGCGCCGGGCAGAGCCGAACTGTGCCGGGCAGAGCCGATCCGGGCA